GGGGCAGGGATTAACGGGGCCCTGGGGAAGGGGTGCGAGCAGAGTGGGGGTGCGTCTGGAAGGGTGGGGAGGAGCCCCTGGCCCCTCAGTGTCTCTGACTCAGCAACCCCGGGCCTTCACATCTCCCCAGGGCAAAGTGGGGAGGGGTGTGCACCCCAGGGCTGAAAGGAAACCCCCAGGCCATGCCCTCGCTCTCCTCATCCGCCCTCAGGCTGCAATGGGGCGAGTGGTAAGAAGGTGGGTGGGCAGCAGTTGGCACTGTCCCCAGGAGGGTCCAGGTGGGGTCAGCAGGAGTTCCCACGCGGCCCCCTCGCCCAATCTTCCCTCCGCTGTGGGTGAACCCCCTCCCAACCCCCCCACTGACACTTGGGCCTTAGGGTCCTTCTTAGGGACAGTCCCAGACAGTGAATGTGGCTGTGCTTGGGAAAGTGGGGTGGCTGGGGTGTCTGGAGCCTGTCTTGGGTTCACCCCAGGCCAAGGGTTTCTAGAAACCAGTCACAGGGAGGTAGCTGAGCCTGCTTGTCCCAGGGCAGGGGAGCACTTCTTGACCCCTGGGGTGTGCAGGGGGCCTGAGGGAACCTAGCTTCTGACTCTCTTAATTGGGAGGAGGCTTGCCAGAGCCCCAGGAATGTTCTGCATCTCCCACAGCTGGGAGGTGGCAGAGGGCGGGCCGCTCTGGAGCCAGACACAAATCGTTAGTGGGTGGATCTGGGCAGTCGGCCCTGGCGCCTGGGGACAGGAGGAGGCTGAGGAAACCGGAGAGGAAGAGTTTCCACCTGAGGGCAGGTGTGGCTGGCTGAGGGCCGTTTCTGGGGGATGCCTGGCCGTCAGAGTGAGGTCAGGGCTGGGGCGTGGCAGCCGAGGGGAGAGGCAGCCTCTGTGTCTGTGGAAAGGAGGAGTCCAGTGGCAGGGACCTGGGGTGAAGTGAGGTCTTTGGGACCCCTGAAAGACTTGGCGTCCTGTTTGCACCAACTAGCTAAGGTCCCAGCCAGGAGGCCACCCCGGACTCTGGGGCCTTCACTCAGCTGGCCTCACCCTGGTGGGTCCTGTCCAGAACGGCGGCCATGCGTTCCTTTCCTGGGTCCCTGTTCCCCCCAGACTCTGTCCAACAATCCAGCAGGCGCTTACAGAACACCTGCTGAATGCACCATGGCCCAGGTGGGGGTGGGCTCTGTCCTGGGGATGACAGTTCCTCGGGGGCCCGGGGGAGGCAAGGTCAGCTCGTGTGACATTCATCAGCATCAACAGCAGCTTTTGAAGGCCAGCTGTATGGGGGCCCCCAGGTCGGTGCCCTGCGCCTTGCACCAGCATCCTAGGGGACCCTGGTCACTTGCATCCAGGCCGGGACCTGCCCTACCCTCCTGCAAACATGCGGGCTTTGCAGCAGCCCCGCAGTAGACACCCAGGGCCTCTGGGTTAGCCAAGCCTGGGGCTGGCGTGCGCATGGGAGTGGCTCCTGGGCCCTCCTCCCGGACCCTCCCACTGAGCTGGGCTCCCAGCAGCCTCTGGGGCCGAATTTCTTGCTTCTTTCTCTCCCTCCACGTAGGCCAAGCTGCTGACAGCTGCTAGGGCCGTGGGCCTGGCACTGCCCCTCTGGCTGCCGGGGCCTCTCCCTGCGGGGGAGGAGGACAGGCCCAGGCAGGAGGAGCCCCGGTCAAGAGGACCTCTGTGCAGCCCTGGGGTGGGAGCCGTGGGGCCTGGCTGCGGGCCTGCAGTGCTAAGGAAGTGGGGTGCCCAGCCACACGTGCGCCTGTGCCCCCCTTTCTTCCAGCCCATGGGTAGGTCCTCGAGGCTGTCCCCGAGGTGGCGGGCACCGTCCCTGTCTTCTAGGCCTTCCCGGGTCTAGCACTGTCTCCCACCTGGGGGCTGCCCTTCGGCGAGGTGGCCTAGCTGGGCTGTGGCCCAGGCTACAGACGCATCGGAGAGCAGAGGCAAAGGGAGTCGCTGGTGCGGGGAAACTGAGGCCTGCCCGCAACACGCACCTGCTCGCTGAGGGCAGGGGCAAACAGCGTCAAAGGGGCGAGGCTGCCGTGATTTTGGAGGGAGGAAAGACGGTTAACAAACTTGCTGCCCCTTCGAACAGGCTTCCAGACAAAGCTCTGGGGGCTTTGGAGGTGGGCCCGGGAAGGATGGCTCGCCTGGCCCCTCCCCAGGTCCGCACAGACAGACCTTCTCGGACCTGAGTGAGGCCTGCCAGAGGGGTGGGGCGAGGGCAGAGGCAGTCAGCCCCTGGGGAGAGAGAGAGGCACACTCCTGGGAGTGTGGCTCCAGCAGGGGCGGGGAGGTCTTTACCACCTTCGTGTCTAAGGGGACCAAGTCTGGTGCAGGCCATGGCTCCCCACTCAGGGGAGCCCAGGCCCTGTCGGGTTCCTGCTTCCCCCAAGACCATCCGGAGTGACAGGACTACCCCGCCCCACCCCCCGCCCCTGATGTCTAAACTCCTGGAAGAGCCTGGTCTTGCTCTTTCTCTCTCTGTCTTCTTTTAAAAGATTTATTTTATTTATACATAAGAGCTGGGATGCAGGCAGAGGCGCAGGGTGGGGAGGGGTTCACCAGAGACAGTGGGGAGCATGGCAGATCCACTGAAATACACTGCTGAGGGGAGCAGCGGGGAGACAGGAGCGGTCTGCTGCGCCATGGGGGTCAGCTCCCTGGCTGGGATGGAACTCGTGCTGCAGTGGCTGTGGACAGCATGACAGTACTGGCACTCAACCCCTTGTGCCCTCAGGGAGGGCCTGGCCTTGCCTCCCCACACCCTGCAACCCCGAGAATTCCCAGACATCATCACAGGCAGGACGAATGCAGATCAGGCCTGGGTTCACCCCTTCTTGCCCAGATATCTCCCTCTGTCCCCACTCCCCAAGGAGAAGACAGCAGGAGGGGCCACCCACTTCCCGGCGGGGGTCCTCCCACTAGTCCTCCCACCACTGGATCTGGCTCCATGGAAAACCCGACTCCCTCCCTGTCCCACATGTGGGCCCAGCGGGCCGGGAGCCCAGGCCACCCGGGAGCCCAGGCCACCCCAGCAGCGGCTCGCCCTCCGCCTCCCTGCCCATCCCTCGGGCTGGCGGCCCCTGCGAGCTGCCTTTCAGACAGCCCGGCTGCAGATGCCAGGGCCTGGCAGCGCCTAAATCATTAGCGCCGCGTGGAGATTAGGCTGGTAATCTCATTGTTGGGCGGCAGACGGGTGTCAGCCGCCAGGATGTGGGGTGGCGTTCTCTTCCAGGGCGGGGGCCCTTCCCCAGGGCCGGAGCTCACACTGGCCTGTGGGAATGGGGCCCCTGCGACACAGAGCCTTCCCTGCTGCCCCCTCTGACTCCTGCGGGGACCCCCGCCAGAGGCTGGGCGCTGGGGGATGAGCCTGGGCTTCACCCTCCCCTGGCCCCACCTTGACTGATGTCACTGTCTCCAGATCCCTCTAAGCCTGCGAGGCAGGGATTACCAGCATTTGACAAACGAGGAAACTGATGCTTATGAACTGACTTCCTGAAAGACTTGAATCCAAAGCTCGCTCTGTGATGACGTCTGTCCCCTCAGCCACAGGGATCCCCCAGGCTGGGCTGGGTCTCCTTCCATAAGCTGGGGAGTGTTCCAAAAAGCTGGGGGCTCACCTGGGAGAGGAGGTCACCTTGAACCTCCCCGCCCTCTCCTGGAGCCCAGGAATGCTGGGTGGGGGGCCAGGCCCGCCTCCAGGCTGCAGGCCTGTAGAGCCTTGTTCTGGGCATTTCTGCCGCCCAGGGCTGGGTTCTGCGGACTCCCCCCAAGAGTGAGCTCAGCTACCTAATTGCATCTGAGGATGGAGGATCACCCTCCCCCGGGGCTGCAGTTCCAACCCCAGTTTTGATTTTGAGAAGACAATGGACTGCTCAGAGGCCACCATGCCCAGGCCAGGCTTGGGCAGGCAAGGGGCCCCGGGGGTGCACTGAGTGTCCAGCTGGGCCCCAGGCCCTGGGCGGCTGGTACGGAAGCAAATTACATGGCTGGGGTTTTTGGCTCTGACTTCAAGGGTCAGGGATCCAGCCCCCACTGAGCCCGGCTATAAAGGGCCCGCAGGGTGTCCGCCGGGACCAGACCCTGCTCCTGACTGTGGACGCCATGTCTGCCACCACCAGCAGCACCTACCAGTTCTCGACCTCCGGCTCCGTCAAGGGCCTGTGTGGGCCTGGCGGGGGTTTTTCTCGGGCCTCTTCCCTCCATGTCGGGGGCGCCTGTCGGGCCCCCAGCCTCCTGGGAGCCGGCAGCAGCTGTAGCAACATGTCGGTCACCTCGTCCCGCTTCTCGTCGGGCTTGGGAGGCGGCTACGGCGGGAGCTACACCTGCAGTCTGGGTGGGGGCTACGGCTCCAGCTTTGGCATGACCGATGCGCTGCTGGGGGGTGGCGAGAAGGCCACCATGCAGAACCTCAACGACCGCCTGGCCTCCTACCTGGACAAGGTGCACGCCCTGGAGGAGGCCAATGCCGACCTGGAGGTGAAGATCCACGACTGGTACAAGAAGCAGGCCCCAGGGCCGGCCCGCGACTACAGCCACTACTTCAGGACCATCGAGGACCTGCGGAGCAAGGTGGGCCTCCCCTCCCCTGTGCTAGTAACCAGCGCGGGACCTCTGTGGACATCTGTGTCCTCGGCCTCCACGACCCAGCCCCCTCTCTCCTTCTATCCTTCCACACACTCACTGGCTCTGGATCCCAGTCCCGTGTCCTCCCTGGTCCCAGGCCCCAGGGACATCCCTTGGGTGGGTGATGGAGAGAGCAGGAGGCCTTCAGAACCTCGAAGGCAGCAGAGAATCTGCGGGTGGGAAGGACACCACAGGCCAAGGCAGAGAGCAAGGAGCCTCCTTTGCCACCCGCTGTGGTCTGCACCCCGCGGGTCAGCCTCCTCCAGGCAGCCCTCCTTGGTGGGTTGCACTTGGCTGTCACTGTCACATCTCGGAATCCCTTCAACGTTTGCCTTTCAGCTTACACTCTGCTCAGTGCTGATTTCCTTGATTCTAGCATGTTCTGTGGCTGCTTTTGGGGGGTCCCTCTCTTCCCTCCATGGCGGTCATGGGGGGGGTCCTGTCTGTCCTTTCAGATTATGATGGTGGTGGGGGAGGGTGGTCCCTGAAGGAGGAGCTGTCTTCTCGCTCCTCCTGGAAACTCCCAAGGGAAGGAACTTCTTAGTCTGATGGAGGCAACACACAGACACACACGCATGGCCTGTGAGAACATGGCCTTTCTGTACATGTGGCTGGACCTTCTGCACCAGCCCTGCTCTTGAGTGTCCAGCAGCATTGCCCCCGCCCCCGCCCCCCATGTGGGTGGGAAGTTAAGGAGCCTTGAGACCCAGGTTTGGGGGAGATGAGGCTGGAGCCGGCTGGCCCTGGGAGGGCAGGTTGCTTCATTTCCTGGTGCAGAAGCAGGCTTGGTGCTGCCTGCTGGGCCGGCCACTGAGCAGGGGATTCCTGCACTTTCCCCCGGAGACAGCTGCTGGCAGCCCCAGATCAGATACTGGGCTTGGTCTGGGCAGCCGGGAGCCCAGGGGAGCCCTGTGAGTCAGCGTTCCCAGCTCTGGGGTCAGCCAGCTCCTCACTCCCACTCCCCCAGCACCCCAGGTCTTGCCCCTCTGAGTCACCCCAGGGAGCTGGCTGAGCCAAGCAGCTTCCTGAGCAGGGTGGGTGGGGGTGGGGCTGCGGCTCGGAAGGCCACTCAGGCCCACGGCGGCTTCGCGGGCCCCGGGCCTGTCCCAGGCTTGTTTCACAGAACTGAGGGCCTCCAGTGGGCTTTGCGGCGCAGGAGGAGACGCTCGGGGCTGCTTTTGCCTGCTGGGTCTCCCCACCATGCCCTAAACACGTCAGCCCTCAGTCTTCAGCAGCCCAAATGCCACTTCCACCAGGACTTCTTCCCTGCTCTGGGCCCCACCCTCACCCCACCCCCATACCTCTCCCCCCACGTCTCACAACAATAAAGACAGTCAGGAGTCAGAAATAATAACACTCCCTGACCTCCTCCTCCTCTGTTCTCTTGTGAACCCCCAGGGTGATCTGTGGCAAAGGACTTCTTCCTAGATCTCAAGTGGGACTCGTTCATTAGTCAATCAATCAATTACTTAATTACACAAATTTTAAATCCACAAATTAAAAAAAAGGTTTATTTATGTATGCATATAGAACTGGGGTACAGGCCAGAGGTGTGGGGGTGAGACAGTGGGGAGCAGAATAGGCAGATCTACTGAAACACACTGCTGAGGGAGCAGTGGGTGAGACCTTAGAGGTCTGCTGCGCCATGTGGACCACCTCCCTGGCCGGGGATCGAACTTGTGCTGAAGCAGCTGTAGGTAGCTTCATAGTGCTGCTGCATTTTAACCCGTTGCAACACCAGGGAGGGCTCAATTACACAAATGTTTTAGGGCTGACTCTGGGTCAGGCACTGTACCCAGGACTGGAGATTCCGAAGACAACAGGCAGACATGACTTTGCCCCTTGGAGCTCAGGCTTTAGCGGAGGAGGGAGTAAAAAAAGTCATAGAAAAATTGTATCTGGGAGAAGTGCTGTGGAGGAGCTATGGGGAGGAACTGACAGAAGGAGGGACCCACACCAGGAAATCATGGAGCACTTCCTGGAGGAGGTGGCAACCAAACCTAGAGGTGAATTTAGTCAGGGTAGAGGGAGTGAGGTCCAGGCAGCTTGGACTGTGATCCTATGGTGGGAGAGGTGTGCATGTGGGTCTCTCTTCTGGGATCCTGGCTACCTGTGTGGTGTCCTGTCCCCTCCCTGGTAACCCGTGTCTGGTATCCAATCCCTTCCCTGCATTCCCAGCAGGTGCTCCCATTCCAGCCAGAGCCCCTAGCTCCCTCACTCTGACCCCTCTCACATGGACTGCAAGAGGGGTTTGCTGGGACCTTCCTGGGCTGCCTAGTTCACCAAATCCTGGTGTCCCCCAGATCCTGGCGGCCACCATCGACAACGCCAACTTGGTGCTGCAGATTGACAATGCCCGCCTGGCCGCCGACGACTTCCGCACCAAGTGAGTCTGCTCCAGTGTGGGTGGGCTCTGGGCCTGTACCCCACAAACCCCCTACGGCACGAGGGGTGGCCACACACTCTGTGGCTCACGCCTGCATCCCTGCAGGTACGAGACGGAGCTGAACCTGCGCATGAGCGTGGAGGCCGACACCAATGGCCTGCGCCGGGTGCTGGACGAACTGACCCTGGCCAGGACTGACCTGGAGATGCAGATCGAGAGCCTGAAGGAGGAGCTGGCCTACATGAAGAAGAACCACGAGGAGGTGAGGAAGAAAGCTTAGCAACGAAGCAGGAAGTGGCCTGGGACGAGTGAGGCTGGGCCCTGCCTTCCTGGGCCAGAGCCTCTGGGGGGGTCCTGGCTCTGCCCCGGGCCCCCCGAGGGCCCTGGTATGGCCTCTCCCCAAGGACTGCTTCCTTTGTCCCTGCAGGCGCAGCCCACTGCGGTGACAGTTAACTAGCTAATGAGCGAGCCAGTCTAAGAGCAAGCGTGCTAATTATTATAATTAATTGTAATGGTGATAGTCATAACAACAAACATCTGCACATTACAAGTGATTCACAGCAATTATCTCAGCTGATATCCACGGCTGGGCGAAGGAGGCTCGGCTTCCGGCCAGTGAGACCGAGAACCGGAGGCCGCGGGGCTTCTCCAGGTGGCACAGGGCTTCCCTCCGGTCTGTCTGACCCGTATTTATTTATGTCAAGGTCTGCCACCACCCTGCCACCTCCCCCACCTTCCTTTTCCAAACAGTATTGGGCCCCAGGGACCTCAAGGCTTGGCCTAGGATGAGGACCAATGACTCTGAGGAGGACAAATGAGCCCGGTGGCCCCTTCTAGCTGACCACTGAGCTGCCTGGCTGGGGGTCTAAGCCCTGCGCAGTGGAGGATGGACCGCCTCTCCTCTTGGCTTTGAGGCTGGTTGTCTGCTGCATTTCCCACATCCTCGGAGGCCTGGCTTGGCCTCTCGGGCGCTGGCACTGCTGTGTGGTTGGCCATGGGGACATGGCAGGTGGTGGGGCAATGGGTGAGGTTGTCCCGGCTTGGCCCCCACCGCGACTAGGACTTGCCATCTCTGCTGCCCCAGCATACATGGGGGTGGACCCAAGTGTGTAGAGGAAGGCTGGACCTCACTGCCCTGCACGTTTGGGGCATGATCACAGCAGGCCTGTCTGTCACCTGCGCCCAGCTCCACGAGGTGCAGAGGGCAGGCCTCAGGTGGCTCTGCATGAGCTCCTGTTCTCCCTCTGTCCAGGAGATGAACTCCCTGCGAGGCCAGGTGGGCGGGGACGTCAGCGTGGAAATGGACGCCGCGCCCGGCGTGGACCTGAGCCGCGTCCTCAACGAGATGCGCGACCAGTACGAGAAGATGGCGGAGAAGAACCGCAAGGACGCGGAGGACTGGTTCTTCAGCAAGGTGGGTGGCCGCGCGTGCGCTGTGGCGGAGTACCGGCTGTGCAGCCGAAGGACATCTGGAAACCTCTGGCCCAAGCCCTGGAGTTAGATGCAAGCTGCGAGGCTCCGAGAGGCATCGGCACGCCCTCCGCTGTGTCCCCGGGAGAGATCCGGGTCTCGGCTCCCGGCGGGGCCGCACGCTGGCGCAGGTGTGTGTATTTGGCGCATAACGCGTGGCCTCCGTTGACACCCTGGGCGTCTGCAGGGCCCTGGACGGTCAAGGCACAAGAAGAGCAACGGGGGGCCAGTCTCCTGCTGTGCCAGTGGTTCAGGGGTGGAGCGGAAGCGGGTGGCCAGTGCAGGTGAATGTGCTCAGTTCCAGCGGGTCTCCCTGTGTTTGGGGCTCCCTGGAAGTCAGGGAGGGGCTTGGGGAGCAGGTCTGGGCCGCCCGGGCTCAGGGCCGCAGCTGTCCTGTGCGCCCCCTGCGCGGGCCTCCCTCAGCCCCGCCGCCCTGCCTTCCCCTGCAGACCGAGGAGCTGAACCGCGAGGTGGCCACCAACACGGAGGCCCTGCAGAGCAGCAGGACAGAGATCACGGAGCTCCGCCGCTCGGTGCAGAACCTGGAGATCGAGCTGCAGGCCCAGCTCAGCATGGTGGGCCCCCCCACCCCCGGCCTGGGCCCGCACCCGCCACCCCAGGGTGGGCCCCACCTCACCGACCCCTGGTCGCCGCCCCGCATACCAGCAGCGCCCCAGCCCCACGCGGGCGGGTCCCTTCCCTGTGTGCTGTGCTGTGGGGCAGGGGCCCCGCTCGGCCTCACCCGGCGTGTCCCGTCGGCCCATAGAAAGCGTCGCTGGAGGGCAGCGTGGCGGAGACCGAGGCGCGCTACGGGGCGCAGCTGGCCCAGCTGCAGGGGCTCATCGGCAACATCGAGCAGCAGCTGTGTGAGGTGCGCTGCGACATGGAGCGCCAGAACCACGAGTACCAGGTGCTGCTGGACGTGAAGTCCAGGCTGGAGCAGGAGATCGCCACGTACCGCCGCCTGCTGGAGGGCGAGGACACCCAGTGAGTGGGCCCAGGGCTGCTCCCCCCCGGGGGTGGCAGCTCCCTGCTAAGGGCTGGGGGGAGGAGCAGAGGGCCGACGGAGCTCCGAAGTCCGAGTTAAAGCTGCTAGACGCTGTAGGCGCTGTAGGCGCCGGGAGGCAGCGGAGCGGCTCGGGCGACAGGATCGCTCAGGACCTTCACTCCGGCTGCAGAGGGAGAAGCAGCTCACAGGGGTCTCGGTGGGGCCAGGGAGACCCGGGAGGAGGCTGGAGCAGGCAGCGGCAGGGAGCAGAGTCCTACCCTTGGTGGGCAGGGCAGGGTAGGGAGGGGTGAGCCCACGTGTCACAGCTGCCTCCGGCAGGGCTGGAGCGGGGACGGTGACTCTTCAGGGCGACTCTGAGGGCTGTGTGAGCGCTTGGGGTGTTATGCCTGGTTTCTGCCACCGTGGAGACGCGCGTACCCAGGGTGGGGGGGAGCTGGCAGGGTGGGTAAGGCCGGCGTAAAGGTGCTGAGAATGCCCTGCAGTCCCCTGTTACCAGAGTCCAGCATTTTCCTCTCTGCTGGTGGGGAAGTCCATCTGTAGTCTAGCCACAGTCTCTCCTGCTTTAACTGATTTGTCGGGCCCTTTAGGGCATGGAAAAACCGCTTGCTCAGCTTCTCCTTGTAAATCCTGGTGAGCCGCAGAACCTCGGGCCCAGGGCTGGGGTGTCCTCTGCCCTTGTTCCTTCTTCCTGCCTCATCTTTGATGCTGTGGTGGCCTGCTTTTCCCTGCACTGCTGCTGTCATTTCTCCCTGCTTTGGGAGGGGCTTCTCCCGCCGCCCCCCGTCTCCCCAGCCACGCTACTCCCCAGCAGCCAGCCCGGGGGGCTGGGTTCCACCGGCCCCCCTGGGCTGACCGGCCCCCTTTCCTTGCAGCCTGGCCGGTCAGTACTCCTCATCCTTGGCCTCGCAGCCCACCCGAGAAGGTAAGAGCCTGCCTGGTCCTGCCCGGCGGGCAGCGGGGAGAGGCCGAGGACCCTCAGCGGGAGACTGGGGAGGGCTGGGCCTGAGGTTGCCTATGTCTCCTCCGCTGCCCACAGCCTCGGTGACCAGCCGCCAGGTCCGCACCATCGTGGAGGAGATGCAGGATGGCAAGGTGGTCTCCTCCCGCGAGCAGGTCCACCGCTCGACCCACTGAGGCCCCTTTCTCCCTGCAGCTGCCCAGCCTCGAGGGCCAAGGGGCTGCCCTCGCTTCCAGCTCCCAGCATGCCACCACCATGCCCCAGTTGCCTGACTGCACCCCCAACGGGGAGCTGTGACCTTTTTGTATCTGCTCCCTGCAGCCCTCACCAGGGGCCTCCTGGCTCTGCCTCTGTGACTGCTATTAAAGCTTTGCCTGAAGTTCAATGCCTGGTGTCATCAGCTTGGTTGTTGACTTAGGGCAGGTGGATGGAGGGTGGGGGGAGGGGAGGGTTTGTGGAGTGGTTGGGGGAGGTGTTTGTTACCTGCCAACTTGCCTGGGCCTGGTGCCCTTGGGAGGACCCTGGAGGGAGCAGGATTGAGCGTGCAGAGTTGGGACATACATCTGGCTGGGAAAGCTTCTAAGAATCAGCTCCTGGGTCCCTGTTGCTGGGGCTGATCCCTGGGAGGGCCCCGCAGCTTTGCTGGGAACCACACCTGTGACAGACATTCCCTGCCTCATCCAGGGCGGGTCCAGGTTCCAGATCAGAGGGAGAAGTGCCCGGCAGGGGGCTTTCCAGGAGCTTTCCCCTCGCTGATGGGGAGGGGAGGTGGCAGCCACAGACACAGTCAGTCCAGGAAACCAGACCGGCTCTGGCTGGCTGGGGGTGTGTGCGGGGCGGGGTGGCTGCCGTGCCGGTGAGCGTGGGGGGGCGTCCTGTTTGCTTTGGTGGCTTGGCAGCCGCTGGGCTATTGGGGAATCTCTCTCAGCTGCTGGCCGGGGCTGTCTGGGCCTGTCTGGAGAGGGGAAGCCACCGGCAGCCTGAGACACAACTGCATCCGCCCAGCGGGCCTGCTGAGACCCTGGGAGCCTGGGCTGGGGGGAGGCTTGACCCACCCCGACCTTGCCCAGTGTCCTGTAGGGTTCCCAGCTGGTCAGGACCTGTGGTCTAGGTCTCTCACGTGGGACAGGATGTGCGGAAGGGGGACGTTGAATGAAGTGGGAGGGAGCGTGCGCACTCTCCTATCTTTCTCAGTTCCCCGTGGACTTCCCCACCCAGCCTGCCATTGCCCATCCTAAAGGGAAGCCCCTTTTCTGCCTGCCCTGGGGCTCAGGATTCGGAGGGAGGTGGGGAAGGTGCAAGAGGAGGCTCACCAGTGGGTCTCAGGGCAGGGTGGAGGTGGAGGAGTAGGGGGCTGGGGGGGATTGTGGGTGGTGGGGATGGTGGGGGGCCAGGGCAGCCAACTGACCAGAGGGAAGCAGCCTCTCGAGGGCCTCCTTGGTGATGGGGCTCTGCAGAAGGGGATCCCCCGAGGTCCACGGCTGCTGTGGCCCGGAGGGGTGAAGGAGGCCGCACTGCCAGCTCAGCCGTGAGTTAGGTGGGTCGGGACATACTCTGAGGCCCATCGGCTGAGACACAGCACTCCTGTGTGGCGCCGCGGGCCCAGTGGCCTCAGGTCCGGTTTCCGAAGGCAGGACAAGGTCTTGGTCCTGCTTGTCTCGGGGAGCAGCCTCAGGCTGGGCTGCCTGGCTCCCCAGCCCATTGCCCCACCAGAGCAGGGTCCAGGCGGGCACGTGGGGGTGGCAGCTGCCTGGGAGAGCCCAGGGCCGGTGACGTCCTGCTTTTCCTCTTCCCCTATTAGGTCATGGGAAAGCATAGCTTCAGGGCCCGCCTGAATCACAGGTGACAGCCCGAGACCAGCGATACACACTTGTTCACGCAGACGCCCAGCACGGGGGTTCGGAGCAATGAGCAAAGCCCCGCTGGTGGGAGGGGAGGGGGCCCGCAGCCACCTGGGAGCTGGCAGGCGGCCAGCGGTGATGAAAGCCCAGGGGAATGGAAACCCAGGAGCAAGCCTGTTGTAATCGCTACGCCCACTTGCCGGCCTATAAAGGAGGCACGCGGGTCCCGGCAGCGACATGCTCCTTGGGTTTCTCTCTCCTTGAACCCTCTTGCTTTGTGCCTGCCAGCGCCCGCCGCCATGACCACCACCATCCGCCAGTTCACCTCCTCCAGCTCCATCAAGGGCTCCTCCGGCCTGGGGGGCGGCTCGTCCCGCACCTCCTGCCGGCTGTCGGGCAGCCTGGGCACTGGCTCCTGCAGGCTGGGGTCAGGGGGAGGCCTGGGCAGTGCCCTCGGTGGGGGCAGCAGCTACTCCAGCTGCTATAGCTTCGGCTCTGGCGGCAGCTATGGCGGCAGCTTTGGGGGCAGCTTTGGGTCTGTGGATGGGCTGTTGGCTGGAGGCGAGAAGGCCACCATGCAGAACCTCAACGACCGCCTGGCCTCCTACCTGGACAAGGTGCGCGCCCTGGAGGAGGCCAACACCGACCTGGAGGTGAAGATCCGCGACTGGTACCAGAAGCAGGCCCCGGGGCCTGCCCGCGACTACAGCCACTACTACCACACCATCGAGGACCTGAAGAACAAGGTGGGGCCTGTAGGGGAGGGACCTGGGGGGGCGCAGCTTCTCCCCACCCTCATTCCATCCCCTGGGCTCCAGCCCTGGACGAGGCCTAGAATTAGCATGGGCTGCCCTAGCTAGTCCAGGACAGCTTGGCTCTGACGTGGCTTCTGGAGCCCGCCTGGGCCCCCCGTGCCTCCTCTCCCCAACTGGGGCAGCAGCCTGACCAGGCCCATCCTCGGTTCCATTCTCGTGGAGTTTCCTGGCAGCTTGTGTGAGCTCAGCCTGAGCGGGTGCCTGAGGAGGCTGGACCCATGAGGGGCTGGATGTGAGGCCACCCCCTCCCTCCTTGGAGCCAGAGGGGTTTGGGGAGATGGCGGGATGAGGCGTGTCAGTGAGCTCCCAATGGCACCTTCTGGGAGGAGGAGGCAGGAGGGCAGGGCGGGACCTTTGGAGGTGTCTTGCGAGCCTTATTTGGGCACTTTTCTGGCTTCCCTATCCCTCCTGCTGCCCTCTCAACAATGGGGCTCAGCGAACCTCAGGGAGCCAGGCTGCCTGCTGGAGCCCAGGCTCGGGGTCACCAGGGGTCCTGATTCACAACTTGGGGCTGCTCTTCAATGAGGGCTCCTTTAAGCTCCCTCTGGGGAGCCCCTCGGGGGCATGGTGTCCCCAGGTGTGAAGGAGGAGGTTTGTTTGCATCCACCCCGCTTCTGGGATTCCGGGAAGGCTCCTGCCAGGGACCATTGTCCTTCCGGTCTGGACGCTCCCCACCTGCCCTTGATGGAAGCAGGCCCTGGTGTGTGTAGGGAGCTGGGGGCAGGGGGAGAAGGTTCAGGACACCTGAGCCCTATGGGCTCCGCCTCTACCACCAATCACACTCAGCAAGAGGCAGGAGGGAGGGCTCCTGGGAAGCAGCCACATCCATCCTGGCTGCAGCAGGGAGACCCCCTGCAGGGCCCCGGGTGACTCCCCCACAGTGACGAGATGCCGCCCGTCCCCGCAGATCCTCACGGCCACCGTGGACAACGCCAGCATCCTGCTGCAGATCGACAACGCCCGCCTGGCTGCTGACGACTTCCGCACCAAGTGAGCCGCAGTCAGTGGGCGCAGGCAGCCAGAGCTGGGGCACCCCAGCGAGGGCAACTTGGTCTAGGACTGGGGGTGGGAAGCCCTAAGTGCGGCTGAGCGCCCACCTCTGAGTGCAGGATGCAGCCCCTGCTGGGGTCACTGGGCTCAGGCAGGTGATGAAGAGGAGGTGGCGGGGTGGGAGGCGGGAGGGCAGTTAGGGAGCTGGTGGGTGTGGGGCCTGGCCCTGCGTGGGCTCAGGGGCCCGGGCTGCAGTTTGCTTCGACTCTGCTCCCTCATCCTTCCTTACAAAGCCTCCGAGTCCTGGGGAAGGCAGTGCTGGGCCCGGCCTGGGCCTGCCAGGCTCAGCGTCTAGGCTTAAGTCCCTGCATTCCTTTGCAGGTTCGAGACGGAACAGGCCCTGCGCATGAGCGTGGAGGCCGACATCAACGGCCTGCGCCGGGTGCTGGACGAGCTGACCCTGGCCAGGGCCGACCTGGAGATGCAGATCGAGAACCTCAAGGAGGAGCTGGCCTACCTGCGGAAGAACCACGAGGAGGTGAGGGCCAGGATGTCAGGTCACAGAGGCTGTGCAAGGGTGGCGGGGCTCTGGGCTGTGCCAAGGCGGAGCCTGTGGGACGAGGGTGGGCAGGTGCACGAGGTCCCCCTGCTCCATTCCCTGGTTGGGGCCCTCCCAGGCTGCAGAGCCCGCAGGAGGCAGGGGTGAAGCCTCTTCCCTGCCCCAGTTCAAACCCTTAAATCTGGACCCCAAGTAGATGTTTGGAAACTAGAGGGGATGTTTTGGGGGAACACCCTAGGGATTAGATTTTGCTTCCTGGGGAGCCCAGAGTCCAGTGGCCCTCCCATCTGTGGAGGAGCCAGAGCCACACCAAGCAGGTGACAGAGTGACAGAGTGACAGAGTGGGAAGGACAGCAGGTGCAGGAGAGGCAGGCAGAGGGCTCCCGGTGGGGGGGCAAGGCAGGCAGTGAGTGATGGCGCGGCCTGGAGCCCCCCACAAGCCCCGTTCTCCACAGGAGATGAGTGTCCTGCGAGGCCAGGTGGGCGGTGAGATCAACGTGGAGATGGACGCCGCGCCCGGCGTGGACCTGAGCCGCGTCCTCAACGAGATGCGCGACCAGTACGAGAAGATGGCGGAGAAGAACCGCAAGGACGCGGAGGACTGGTTCTTCAGCAAGGTGGGGGCGGCTGTGGCCAGGGCCTCTCCTGGGGGTGTGTGCAAGGTTGACCCCTGGGAATGAGCTCAGTGCTGGGGGTCCCCGGGAACTCTAGTCTCAGCAAGCCTCATGGACCCCGAAGAAGGTCACACAGGCACAGCTGGGCTTGGCTCGCGCGGGGGCGGGGCGGGGGAACCCCACGGGGGGGGGAGGTAGAGGGCGCAGACGGGCACAGCCCTCTGTCCCCCAAGGGGTCAGACTGCCTGCTGGGCTGGGCTCAGGCTTGCCTCCCACTGTAGGGGATAAAGGCGAAACCTAGCATTCCGGGAGGTGCCTGGGCTTGGGCGTGGAATGTGGGTGAGGACGCAGGTTGGGGAGGGGGTCTGAGAGGCGGAGAGGTGAGCAGGGAGCTGTGTGAGGGTGTGATGGACAGTGGGAAGAGCCGCAGGTGCCTGGGAGGCCGAGGGGCCTCTGGCTCCAGACGCCAAGTTCATGTTGCCTCCTCGTGCATTGTGTCTGCAGACCGAGGAGCTGAACCGCGAGGTGGCCACCAACAGCGAGCTGGTGCAG